GTACCTGACAGCCTCCTCCTCCAGGCCAGGCCGACCAGCACGGCGACTGCCCCCAGGGCCAGGATCACGCCTGCCACCACCGGGACCAGCAGCGACTCGCACGGCGGCTCTGAGACGGGGACAGGACAGGGGCTGAAGGGAACCGGGCGAGACCCCCCACACACACACTGCCCTGCTCCCCCGTCAGTGCCCCATAGCCCCCCCGAGCTCCTCCCCCATCACAGGGGTCAGTCACCCCCTCCCCCGTCAGTGCCCCATAGCCCCCCTGAGCTCCTCCCCCATCACAGGGGTCAGTCAATCCCTCCCCCAGAACAGGGTCAGTCCCAGTCGCCCACACAGGCTCGCCCCCCCCAACGCCCCTCCCCCCGGCCTCACCCCACAAGACGACGAGCGGCTCGGCGAGGCTCTCGTGCTCCACACGGCAGCGGTACAGGCCTCTCTCCCGGGGGTCAACCTCCACCGTGGCCCAGGCATGGTAGGTCCCGTCCCCATTGGGCAGGACCCCCCCTCGCCGCGGCTCCTGCTCGCTGCTCCCCCCGTGTCTCAGCCAGCTCAGGGTGATGTCCCGGGGGTAGAAGCCGTGGGCCCGGCAGGAGAGGGTGGTGGGGCCACCGGGGGCGTCTCTGCCAGTGACCCGCACGGCCGGGCGCTCTGGGGAGACGAGGGGGCAGAGGGGGAGCCGCAGGGTCACGGCCGGTGAGCAGCACCCGGGTCCCCCGATACCGTTACCAGCACCCGCCCCAACGTCCCTCCCTGGGGGGGCCAAGGGATCCCTGGGGCAGGAGCGTCCCCAAATGGGAAGTCAGGGAGCATCAGGGATGTCCCTGCCCCCCAGCCCCATGGCCCCAAGGGCAGCCCTCCCCCTCCCCCCAAGCACCCCCTGCCCTTCCCCTCCCACCCAGCACCCCCTCCTCTCCACCCAGCCCCTCTGGCCTCCCCCCCAGCATCCCCTGCCCTCATCCCGCCTAGCCCGCACCCCCCTGCCCTCCCCTCCCCACCTCCACGCCCCCTGCCCTCACCCCGACTGGCCAGCGCCCCCTGCCCTCACCACACCCCCCAGGACCCCCTGCCCTCACCACACCCCACCTGGCCAGTGCCCCTGCCCTCACCCTGCCCCCCAGTGCCCCCTGCCCTCACCCCGCCTGGCCAGCGCCCCCTGCCCGAGCTGCAGGTAGCGGCGCAGGGCCTCGACGCACTCCCGCTCCAGGAAGTGGCGGTAGTACTGCAGGGCGACTGGGTCCCCGTTCCACCGGCGCTGGGTGGCCTCGGCCTCCCGGGCAGGAGCCTCCCAGCGGTGCTGGGCGTCGTCATAGATCAGGAAGTCGTCCCCGTCGTAGCCAAAGCGCCGGAAGCCCCCGGTGCTGCCGTCCGCCCGGATCTCGCAGCCGTAGGCGTACTGGAAGATGTGGAAGCCTGGGCGGGGCAGAGCCGGGGGTGGGGTTGGGACGGGGACCCCACGGAGCCAGGACCACTGCTGGGTCTGTGACCCCTCCCTGGATCCCCCCCAGAGCCTGCCCCTCTCCAGGGGCCCTGCCCTGGGCCCCCCTCATCTGCTCCCTGCGGGGACCTTGCTGGGCAGGACTGCATGGACCTTGGTTCCGATCCGGCCATTCCTGGGAACAGAGAGGGGTGTAGGGAGCCCTGGCTCGCTGGGGGCACTGCACAGACACAGTGAGACGGTCCCTGCCCCAAACAGCTCACAGGGCAAAGGGACAAGAAACCAGAGGGGAAACTGAGGCACAGAGAGGTGAACTGACTTGGCCAAGGTCACCCAGCAGGTCAGGGGAAAAGAGCTGGGGATAGAACCCAGGAGTCCTGGCTCCCCCGGCAGTGCTCCACGTCCCCTCTCTTCCCCCCCATGTCCCCAGTGCCCCGGCCCCTCTGGCCGCGTGCGGGCGCAGACTCACCCCTGCTCTGGTTGTAGAGGTGCATGTGGCTCCGCACCTTGCCCCGGAAGCAGGCCTGACGCACCTTGTGGACGTGGTTCTCCCGCTCCCAGACCTCGGTCTCCTGCATCCAGGGCGCCCGGGGCCGCATCTGCTGGGCCTCGCTGTCGTACTCCACGAACCGCTGCCCGTCCACGTAGCCGGCCACGGTGAACTCGGGCACCCCCGGGCCTGGCTCTGAGACGGCCGTCAGGAAGTACTGCAGGGAGTGCGACCCTGCGGGGGAAGGGAGCGGCGGTGTTAGTGGGATCTGTCTGCACCCCCCTCCCCAAACGCCGGGAGAGCAGCCCCCACTCCCCACAGCTCCACAGAGACCCCCAAAAAACCCCAGTGTAATTGTAAGGGGGATTGACGCACGGCGCACTCATCTCAAGCACAGAGCGAACGGGGAATCACCAGCAGCTGGGAGCACTGCAGGGCACCTGACACACAGTAGGGAGTGAACAGCCATGCTGAGAATGGGGCAGAGGGTGTGTGTGTGTGTGCACACGGATGCTAAACACACACACACGCATGCCCAGCAGTGAGGGACGGACGGACACACGCACAGCCAGTGGACAGACAGACAGACACACAGAGTTCCCTTCCCCAGCACCGCAGGGCAGCCCTGCCACCGCACGGCCCATGAACCCCGATTCCCTAGCCCAGGCACAGAGCTGCAGGGAGAGTGGAGGGGGAACAGGGGCAGATGTGGGGTGACAACAGTGGGGACGGGGGTCGCTGTCACAGCCGAGCGTGGCCACGTCCGGCCCCAGGATCCTCTGGCACCAGCCCAATGACATCACCCCAACTCCCCAGTGAGCTCCCGGCCCCCCACAACTCACCCATTATCCACTGGCACCCCAGAGTGCTGCCAGGCGCTCCCCCACCTGGGCAGTACCTCCCACCCCTCCCCCAATACCATGGGAGATATACCACTGCACACACCCCCCCCCCCCCCGCGCCCCCGTCAGAGAAATGTACCCAGCGCCAGTGAGAGAACCCAGGAGTCCTGGCTCCCAACACCCCCTGTTCTAACCCACCAGCCCCCACTCCCCTCCCAGAGCCGGGGAGAGAACCCAGGAGTCCTGGCTCCCAGCTCCTGGGGGAGGGGTTAAGCCCCCGTTTGCCGCTACTCACGTGACTCGGCGCCCCCCAGCAGGAGGAGGGGGAGGAGGAGGAGGCTGCCTGGGCCCCCCATGCCGTGTGGGGCGCGATCCCGCTGTGCTGTGGGGCGGGGGGGGGCGGCTGCTGGCCCTGGGAGCCGCCCCCCCGCGGGGATTGGGCACCACGGGCGTGTCCTGCCCGTTGCGACAGACCCACGGGGCCGGGCCGGGGAGGAAGTGAGATTCCGGCACAGCTGGGCGGGGGGGAGTGCAGCCCCGGGGCCCCCAGCCAGCCCCACAAAAACATGGGGGGCCCTGGACCCCCGCCCGCATCTCGGCCCCATCCAGACACGGGGGGTCCGGGACCCCCCCGCTCCCAGCCCGGCCCCTCCCAGACACAGGGGGCCCGGGTCCGCCCGCCCCCCGCCCAGCCCCGGGGGGCCCGGGGCCTCCCCCCCCCCGCACTTCAGTTACAGTCATAGACACGGGCGGGATCTGAACCCTCTGTGCTTAGACAGTCACAGGACACACTAGGGTCCCCCCCCCCCCGGCCCCCCCCCCCCCGCCCCCCCCCATGAGCCACCCCCGTCTGCTCACATCACCCACATGCCCCTCAGCCCGCCCCCTGCACTGCCCCGGGGCGTTTTCCAAAGAGCTAAAGTGATTTAGGAGCCTTAGTCCAGGAGAGAACCCAGGAGTCCTGGCTCCCTTAACTCGCCCCATACACCTTTAATCCTCTCCCTGCCCGTGTCCTCCTTCCCCACTGACCCCCCCATCGCTCCAGGCCCTGCCTCCTGGCCTCGCGCGGGGGTTTATCCTGCTGCCCGTCACCCTGGTATCTGGGCACCTTCCACACAAACTCAACAGCAAGTAACAAAGCTCCTGGTGGATGGCAGGGGACTCTGCTCCGCGTTACACCCCCCAGCCGGCCCTGCCGCGGCTCTGGCTGCGCTCCTGAGCCCTTCCTCCCTGCCCCGGTGCCCCCCCCCCGCCCCACCGACCCCCCCCCACAGCCCCCCCCCGGTCTGCCCGTCCCATGGGCAGTAGAAGGCAGCTGGATCGAACCCAGCGAGCAGGCCCAGCTCCCGGGGGTGTCGGGGTGTGTCTGTCCCCCCCCCGTGGCCGGCACTCTGTGCTGTGGGCACTGCCCCGCTGCGGGCGGCTGGCTGCGGTGACGGGCTCCCAGCCCAGGGCAGGCGACCGGCGCAGCGGCTGTGTTTAACTCTCCCCCGGTCGCCGCAGGGCCGCAAGTTCCCCATGCCGGGGGACAGAATGGCGAGTCGCAGTGCGCTCGCTGCATCCCGCAGGGTCACGCTTCCTCTTCCCCTGCCAGTCCCTCGGCAGCCGAGTTCGAGGCAGTCACGTGGGGACCGGCGCGCTGGGGGAACGTCGGAGCTGCTGAGATCCGGCCTGTGGCGCCCGCCCGCCAGGCCCAGCGCGGGTCACACACAGGCCGCCGGGAGCTGGGGCTGAACTGCCGGTCGTGCCAGACCCCACGGGAGCTGCACCCTGCCCCAGGCCAGCTGGATCTGTGGGGATCCTGCCCCAACCTGCCCCACGCCGACCTGAGACAGGCCCCGACATGCCGCTAGCGCATCGCTAGGCCAGGATCCCCTGGGTGCAGCCTCCTCCGCCGAGGGCTGCGCCGTGCTGACGCCAGCCACATTACCCAGTCTGAGCGTCTCTCCCCTGAGTGTCAGCTCCCCGGGGCAGGGACTGGCTGTGCAGTGCCTGGCGCCGGGGGTCTCCGCCTGGGCTGGGCATCCCAGACACTACTGCAATACGGGCAATGAACACCACCCCTGGGTCCGGCTCTGAGGGCCGGCTGAGGAGGGGCGTGGGGGTGGCGGTGCCTCTGCCCTGCAGAGAGTCAGACCTGCTGGGACTGAGAGCGCCGTGGGCTGCGCAGTGTTAGCTGGGTCTGTCTGTACACGGCTCTGGAGCAAGCAGCTCTGAGTCGAACCGGATCCAGATTAATTCAAATGTGAGGGAGCCATTGGGCTTTACCGGCTCTTCCCAGCGCCCGGCTGCAATGGCGCCAGCAGGGGACGCCCCAGGCCTCGGTCTGAGAATCCCCCAGCGCTGCCTTAGTTCTCAGCAACAGGGCGGTTCGGCTCGCTAGGGCAGCGGAGCCCGGCACCGGGAGGGGAGACGGGCTGAGACAGACAAAGCAAAAGCCCAGACAAGTGAGGGGCACACGAGAGACCGGGCCTTTATTCCAGGGGTTCAGTGACACGATCTAGTCCGGTGGCTCTCAACTTTTCCAGGCTGCTGGCCCCTTGGCAGGAGACTGATTTGTCGTGTGTCCCCCAAGTTTCACCTCGCTTAAAAATACTTACTTCAAAATCAGACAGAAACATACAGACGTGTCACAGCCCACTATGACTGGACAATGGCTGACTTCCTCGTTTTCACCGTATAATTATAAGATAAATCAGTTGGAATATTAACATTGTACTTACATTTCAGTGTACTGTACATTACACAGAGCAATAGAAACAAGTCATTGTATGAAATTGTAGTTTACACCGACTTTGCTGGTGTTTTTTGTGTAGCCTGCTGTAAACCCAGGGAAATATCTAGCAGAGTTGATGTACCCCCTGGCAGACCTTGTGACCCCCCAGGGGTACACATCCCCCTGGTTGAGAAATCAAAGGGTCCCTGCCCCACACCGCAGCTTTCACTGTAAGTCTGACAGATCCCAGGTACTTAACCCACAGCAGCCCCTGCGAGGCAGCCGAGCGTCGCACCCAGGGCCTGGGCACTGAGGCAGAGGGAAAGGGTGAGGGATTCAGTCCAGGTCACACGGGCAGTCAGCGACCGAGGGGGGAGAGACCCCAGGAGTGACTCCAGCCTAGACGATGCCCGCTGGGGGGTCCCTGTCATCGGGCGGGGCAGGAACACCCACAGAGAGGAGCTGCTGAGTTTCTGCAGGGAGATTGGTCTCTCACACACTTGTGTCCCCCACCAGTCGCACCGTGGCCGCCGACCCTGCAGGAACGAGATACAGGGAGTCAGGGGGAGCCCGGAGCCTCCCCTTTTTTTCCGGCGGTCCCCATGGGCCCCCCCACTTTTCTGGCGGTGCCCCCCCCAGTCGCACCCCCTTTTTCTACTGGCGCCTCTGCAGGAGCCGTGTCTGTTCGTAGGGTTGGGCTGACACCGGAGAAGGACCCACTGCAGCCGGACAGGGGCTCCTTCGGGCCGTTCTCCAGACCCTCCCGCAGCTGGGTCAGATGGGGGAGAGACGCTCCATACCCAGCAGGGTCGCTCCCAGCTCTGTCTGGGGCAGGGTGCGGGGAAGAGGAGGGAGTTCCCAGGCTGGTTCATTGCTCCCCACCGCGGGGAGCAGGCGCTCAGAGCTCCCCCACTCTTCTCCCAGGCTGGGCTGCTAGACGGGCCGGGCCTGGGGGGCTCTGGGCCTATGGCCGGGGGGAGCCGCCTGCCCAGAGAGCAGCCAGCGCCCCGGGTTGGAGTCACCACTTACCTAGTGAGCCGGTGTCACACCCGGAGTCACTGCCTGTGGGAGGGAGAAGGGGGTTAGCGCTGAGCAGGGAGCTGGTTCCTGGCCGATCCCCCCACCCCACCCCGCACCACTGGGATCAGACTGGGCTGAGCAGAACGTCCCGGAGGCCCAGAAATGGCCCAGCCCAGGCAGGGACCATGGGAAGGGATCAGAAAGGGGGCAGGGCCGGGGACAGGCAGACCCAGTTCTGGGGTAAGAATCCCCATAATGCACCAGGGCTGGAGGCTGGGTGGGGGAGCGCAGGGGCCCCAGCTGGGGCGGGAATGGCCGGGGGGTTCAGGATCTGAGGGTCCTGGCATCTGGGTCCCAGCCCAGCTCTGCTGTGGGGGGGTCACACTCAGCCCCACTCCTGTCCCAGTTCATATAGGGGCTGAGGTACAATGAGCCCTCCCCCCTGCAGCCCAGCCCCCCACCCACAGCCACAGCTCCCCTCCCCTAGAGTCCCTGCTGCCTGGAACGACCCCCCCTTGCAGAGGGGACCCACCCCCGGCTGGGGACTGCAGGGTGCCCCGGGGCAGGGCTTGGGGAAGGCGTCTCCCCATAGAGGTCTCCGTGACCACAGCCGATCCCCAGGGGGGCTGGATCCCCCCAGCACTTACCCCTGCTGGATCCTTTGCTGGATTCTTTGTCGCTGGCTGTGGGGAGAAGGGACAGGGTCAGTGTCTCTGAGCCCAGGGGCTGAGTGTGCTCCCGGGGTCACCGCCCCCCTCGGAGCGGTTCCAGCCCCACCCGTCCCATTAGACCCGCCCCGTCCCATTAGACCTGCCCTGGGCTCGCCTGGGGGGCCCTGACCCCGAGGCTGGGCAAGGAGGGGCCCATGTGGCAGGGCCCCGCTGTGGGATCTCAGGGACCGTCCCTCCCAGCTCTGCCGGGGGGAGCCTGGCCCCCGTGCGGGGAAAGCAGGGGCCCCTGGTTACCTGCTCTGCTCACAAATGACCCTCCTGGGGAGTGCAGGGTGAATCGCCAAGTCCCATTCACAGCCCGCCCTCTCCCCCCCACAGAGATCCCACCCCCGCCTGGTCTCCCTGCTGGGGCCTCTGACTGGAAACTGAAGGGTTAACGGGTCACCCCTCCTGCTCCATCATTAACCCCTTACCTTCCAGAGAGGAGCTGGAGTCCCGGTTGCCGGCTGTGGGGGGAGAAGGGGGTTAGTGTCTCCTGAACCGGTGTCGGGAGGCAGACGTCTCCCTAGGAATCGATTCCACCCTCGCCCACCCCGTCCCGGGGCTCACCACCCCCGGCCTGCCCCAGACAGGGAACAGCATCACCCGGAGCTGCCCTGGGCAGAGCCAGCCAAGAGGGTCCCCCCTGCCTGGCACAGCTCAGCCCGGAGACCAGAGGGGCCTGCACCCCGCAGAGCCGGGGGCACGTCGCGCGACGCAGGGGATTGCGGGTGACTGGCTGAGCAGGTGGCGATGGGGCGTTAGCGCCCGGTCCCAGGGGAGGGTCCCTGGGCTGGGCCGTGCACACCCCCACACACACACACCTGCCAGCAGCGCGGAGGGCTCACACTCACCCTGAGCTGGAGTGTCAATGGCTCCGGTTTTCCCTGCAGAGACAAGGCAGATTGCAGTGAGTGCGGCCGCTCCCGGGACAGGAACCGGCTCTGACCCATGTCCACGGCCCAGCACAGACCCCGGGGCTCAGCGCACGACTCAGTGTCTCAGGGGAAGCCGGGCGTAAGGAAGGGAACAGAGAGACCCAGCGCCATCCGCCCCGTCTCTGGCTCCCCCGTCTCTGGCTACGGCCCGGCAGCAGCCCCCAGCGGGGTCTCTGGCCCAGCCCCCCGCGGGGCAGTCACACAACCCCAACACAGGGGTCCCCCTCCAGATTGCTGCAGTCCCCAGGGCCCCATCGCAGGCCCCACACTGAGAGGTGGCACCGCTGGCCCCCCATTACCTGAGCGCCGCCTCCTCCAGAGAACAAACCCGACTGTCCCAGCGAGCAGGGCAGCGCCAGCGACGGCCCCAATCAGCGCAGGGAGCGGGGCAGTGCGGGACGGGGGCTCTGCAAGGGAACAGAGAGTGAGACCCCCCCGCAAACACCACGTCCTTCCCATCCCCCATTCGCGGGGCTGTCTCTTTACCCTGCGGTGAGTCTGTTCCAGGAACGTCCGTTATTCTTCAAACCGCAGTGGCCAGGGGAAGCGGGCGCCCTTCCCTGCTCCTTCCCGAGCGTCTCTTCCCCCCCGGGGCCCAGGCCTCGCATTCCCTTTTCAATCCTTTGTTAACAGGACTTTTCAACTCCCGCTAACTCACAGGGGCCTGGCACCAGGTTCCCCGTGTTCTAAAGCCCGTTTCACCTCCAGCCAATGTTTCACTGCCCAGGACCCCGGCCCGGGCTGGGATCAGGCTGGCTCCGCGATCACGCCCCGCTTCATTTATCAGCTCCCTCCGGCTTTCCGGGGTGCCCCCTCCCCTCTGGTTCCTGTCTTAGCCTCCTCCCCCGCTAGCCACACGACCTGCCTGTCCTGCGGCTTCGCTCATTTTCTCCACCTGGGGAGGTGAGCAAAGTGTGTTACCGGTGGGGCTGTAGGGCCAGTCACCCTGTGACACCCCCCCCATTTCATCCAGCATCCACACACACACCCCGGCCTCACCCCACGCAGTGTCGAGTGGCTGGGCCAGGCTCTTGTGCTCCACACGGCAGCTGTACAGGTCTCTCTCCTGGGGGTCGATCTCCACCGTGGCCCAGGTGTGGTAGGTCCCGTCCCCATTGGGCAGGACCCCCCCTCGCCACGTCTCCTGCTCTCTGCTCTCCCCCTTTCGCAGCCAGGTCACGGCAATGTCCCGGGGGTAGAAGCCGTGGGCCCGGCAGGAGAGGGTGGTGGGGCCGCCAGGGGCGTCTCTGCTGGTGACCCGCACGGCCGGGTGCTCTGGGGAGACAAGGGGGCAGAGGGGGAGGCCGCTGGGTTAGGGCCCATGAGCAGCACCCGGGTCCCTGAGCACCCCCATGGTCCAGTCGTTGGAAAGCAGGAGAGGTCAGAGCCTGGGAAAGACCCCACAGGGACCTGCCCCGCACAGGAGCCCAGGGGAGATGGGACCTGCCTGGGGAGGGGGTCTCTGCACCCTGCCGGCATGGCACAGAAGGGGACCCTCAAAAGGCTCCGCTGACCTCTAGGGGTCTTGCCCTGGGTCAATATAATTAGTGTCTCAGACAGGCCAGGGAGTGGGGGAGTCTCTGCGGGGGGGGGGGGGCCCCGCCCCCCCGGGGGGCCCCCCGCCCCCCTCACCTCTCCTCTGCAGCGTCTCCTTCCCGTAGCCCAGGTATTTCTGCAGCCACTCGACGCATTTCCGCTCCAGATAGTCCCGCTGCTGCTGGCTCAGGTGCCTGTCGGCCTCCATCTTCCCCTTGGTGATCTCGGCCTCCTTGCTGGGAGCCACCCAGGCGTGGGTGCGGGTGTCGTAAGAGAGGAAATCCCGCCCGTTGTAGCCGTACTGCCGGAAGCCCCCCGTGCCACCGTCCGCCCGCAGCTCACAGCCGTACATGTACTGGAAGGCGTGCAGGCCTGGAGAGACACGCACGGAGCCAAGTGAGGCCACAGCTCCGGCCACGGCGCCTGACAATGTTCATTAGACCTGACTCGGGGCCACGGCCCCTCGCTGCCTGGGGACAGGGTCACCATGGGGATGGGGATCCGGGCTAAACCCGGGGACGGGGTCACTGCCAGACCTGGGGATGGGGGATGGAGTCACTGCTTAGGCCCAGGGATATGGGACAAGCTCACCACCAGGCCTGCAGTCACCGCTGGGGCCAGGGATGGAGGATGGAGACAGAACAGAGTCCCTCCTAGGTCCCGGGCTCTAAGGTCCCTCCTAGGTCCCAGGTTCTGGGGTCACCGCCAGGCCCCAGGCTCCGGCCCCCGGCCCCTCACCCCCGCTCTGGTTGTAGCGCTCCATGGCGATGCGGACGTTGCCGTTGAAGGCCTCCTGCCAGCCCTTGGCGATCCAGGTCTGCCGGTCCCAGTACTCGAGCCCCTCGGCCTGGATCCAGGGGGCGCGAGGCTGGGCCTGCTTCACCTCGCTGTCGAAATGGAAGAAGAGCTGGTCGTCCAGGTACCCGACCACGGTGAACTGGGGAAGCCCCGGGCCGGGCTCCGACACCGCCGTGTAGAAATAGCGTAGCGAGTGCGGGCCTGGGTCTGCGGGGAGAGAGAGAGAGAGACCCTCCTGTCAGCCAGCAGCCCCCTTCCCCACCCAGCCCCCAGGGCGAGCCAGGACCCCACCCCACACTTCAGGGGGGAGAGACACCCTTCAGCCAACAGCCCCTTGCCCCATCCCAGCCCCCAGGGGTGAGCCGGGACCCCACACTCCATGGGGGAGAGACCCACCCCACAGCCAGCAGCCCTTCATCCCCTGTCCCATCCCAGCCCCTGGGGTGAGCCAGGACCCCACCCCACACTGCAGAAGGGAGACACCCCCCCCCCATCAGCCAGCACCCCGTTTCGTCCGGCCCAGCCCCCAGGGAGAGCCGGGACCCCACCCCACACTGCAAGGGGGTAGATGGGGCCTCTCTCTCTGTTGGACCAGGGGTCCATGCAGTGCCCAGAGTGACGGGGGGGCCCAATCTCAGTTGAGCAGGGTCCGTGCAG